AACTCTCGAAATTATAGACATTAATTACTGTTAAATTGTGAACTGTCCATTTGATATAGTCATTGCATATAGATCAATCTTTCATAAATAATTCATAATTAGAGCCAGGTAGAATCTGTTAACCTCTCTAATTATATCTTTATGCTTAAGTACCATTGATTCTCTAATGGATAGTGATTCATAAAATACATTCATGAACCAGAGCGCTCTTATTAATCCAAGTACCGAATCCACACTCAAGAGAATTATTTATCTACTTCTTTCTCAAGAAAGAATGAATTCTATCTCGTATAATAACATTCACGGCTACCTACTTCATCATGTTTTCAAAATACAAGAAATATGATTCAGGGTCTCGGAATCCGTACCGAGTAAATAAAAAAATACAAATCCATAAATAATAATCTGCTAAGAACTTAAGATTAAGATCATTCTATATATGACCATCGGTAGGCTCAATTAGAATTTCTATGCTTAACGGAAATTATCAGAATTTCATATTGTGTCTATATCCCTGTTCCACACAATCTCATTATGCGAAATACACTCATTCAATATCTCACCATATTAACAGTGCGGATAGTACCGTTTCATTCTAAATGAGAATGACATGTATTAATAATGTTTTAATAAATATTTTGAACTTTAATTAAATTCATTATGAACAACGTTTTTAATTATTATCCTTAAACATTATCCTCTCGTATATAACACTTATATACAATGTTTAAGGTTACATAAATAATCACGGAATTTTCATTTGATATTCATAAAATATTCATAAATATATGCAGATAAAATGATGAATAAACTCTTTTATTAATTAAATAATAAATATCATATTACATCTCATGCTTCTAGGACACTATTCTCAACACACGAGCCAATCAACCATGGCAGCAATTTTCTCCGGATCGGCTTGAACCCTAGAATCCGTGATAATATGGCCCAAATATTCCACTCGTGGCTGCCCAAAAACACACTTTTTCTTGTTGGCCACCAATTGGTGTTGCTTTAGCAATTCAAAAACACATCTCAAGTGCTGCATATGGGTAGCCCAATCCTTGCTATAGACAAGAATATCATCGAAAAAGACCAAAACAAACTGCCGTAAGTGCGAACGGAAAACTTCGTTCATTAAGGATTGAAAGGTTACCGGGGCGTTTGTTAAGCCAAAAGGCATAACCAAGAATTCGTAATGACCGGTGTGAGTGCGAAAGGCTGTTTTCGGTGTATCCTCCTCACGCACTCTAATTTGATGGTAGCCGGATTTCAAGTCCAATTTGGAAAAGAAAACCGCACCCCTAAGCTCGTCCAACAACTCATCTATGGTAGGAATCGGAAACCGATCAGGAACGGTGATCTTGTTTAGTGCGCGATAGTCCACGCAAAAACGCCACTCACCAGATTTCTTCTTGACCAGCAACACCGGACTCGAAAACGGACTGTTACTATGCTTAATGATCCCTGCTGCCATCATTTCCTTCACAATTCTTTCAATCTCATTCTTTTGTGAATGTGGGAAACGGTATGGCCTTAAATTGGGAGGTTCTGTCCCCTCCTTAAGTAGAACTGCATGGTCATGAAATCACAAAGGAGGAAGGCTTGCGGGAGGTTCAAACACCGAGTGAAATTCAGTGAGCAACCCTTCCAAAGCAGCATCTTCCACAACTCCAACCGATTGGTCTAACAATGTCACTTGCCCAAATTCCACCAAAAACCCTTGTCCATCTTCCTGAATAGCTTTAAGCATTGCCTTGAGAGACACTAAAGTTTTGGACAAAGAAGGGTCGCTCTGAAGCAACACTTGTTTGCTCTGCCAATCGAACTGCATAGTTAATTTCTTCCAATTGGTACTTACCTCTCCTAACATGCCTAGCCAAGTAAACCTAAAATCACATTGGTGCTACCAAGTTCAATCGGAAAAAAATCTTGTATTATGTGCAACCCCTGCAAACTAACTTCTACCTGCCGGCAGACCCCCTGCCCAGCCACTTTGTATCCATTTCCCACCATAATTCCAAAACTAGGTGTACCATCTATTGGAAGTTTTAGTTCCTCCACCATTCCCCAAGAAATGAAATTATGAGAGGCTCCCGAATCAATCAAAATTACCACTTCTTTGTTCAAGATCGTACCTTTCACCTTCATGGTATTAATTGATGGAATCCCTACGATTGAATTCATGGAAAGCTCCAACGATCCTTCTTCTCGTGTCCCTGGTGTGCTGGTAGCCTTGGCAGCCACTGCTTCTTCTTCCTCATCCTCTGCCGCAATAAGAACCTGGAGTTGGGGATTCTGACAGACATGACCGACTCGCCATTTTTCTTCACATCGGAAACATAATCCCTTCTCTCGTCTTCATTGCATCTCAGCATTAGAAATCCTCCTCCTGAAATTCTCATTTCTTCTAGCCGGCTGAGAAGAAACATGAACAGGTTCCTTGTTGACAGACACGTTGGATTGAAGAGAGCTGCTGCGTGTCACTGTTGCACTACCTCCTTCAGTCGGTTTGGGTGATATCCAACTAGGACCACTTATTGGAGGAACTCTCCCCGTCACAGAACTTCTTAAACCGCCATAATCTCCTGAAAATGAAAATCCACTTCCTTACTCAAGTTGGGCCTAAAGGTCCGTTTCATGTGAGCCCGTTCTAGGGCCCAATTTTTTTCCTCAATCTTTTGGGCCAAGTCCATCAGTTGGACAAGAGAGGCAGGCTTCACCATACGAACCTCTGCCTTGATCTCTTCGGCCAGACCATTCAAGAAAGCTCCCATCAGGAACTCCTCATCGGCTTCTCTCAAGGGAGACGAGAGTTGCTCGAAATTCAGCTACCGTCGATTCCTGTCGTAAGGCCATCAAAGCCTCGTAATGATTGCCCGTTTGCGAAGACCTAAACCGCTGAATCACAGATTCCTTGAATCTCAACCACGAGATGTGACCAGATCTGGATTCCAACCATTGGAACCAGTTCAACGCCTTCCTTTCGAGGCCAATCACTGCCGCTGCCACTCGTTCCAACTCCCTGGACTTGGAAATATCGTTCTAGACGGAACAGCCACCCAAGCGGGTCATCGCCACTGAAAAGAGGGATTTCCATTCGGCGAAACCTAGATTCCCCGCCAATCGGTGCTGAACCTTGACCGGGATGAACCGCCGCCGCCGTCGCGCCGCTGCCTTCTACCTCGTTCGAAGCAGAAGCCCTAACCTGCTCTGCCGATGGATTCGCGCCGTTCCCCGACCTCATCCAATCGGTAAGTTCCTTCATGTAATCCTTCACAGCTCCCTTGTCCACCGAAAGTTGTCCAACAACTCCCTTAAGCTCTCTGATGTCCTTCTCCACCATTTCCACTCTGCCTTACATTTTTTCAGCTCTTGAAGCAACCATTCCCAATCAGAACAGCTCTGATACCAATTTGATGGAAACCTCTAGATTAATGAAGGACGAATTACACACTCGGGTGATTATTCGAGAGAATCACCGTCTCTCCTCACAATTCTATACAATCCAAAAGTCCCCAATCTCTAGGAACCCCTGCTTATTTATAGACTCTGCTAACACTACAACTCTAACTAAATTCAGTTATTACAAGAGAAGCTTTCCCAACAAGAATGCCGAAAACTTCCTCCAGAAGACTCTCAATTAACCAGCCTTACTTATTCAAATTCACGTCAGCAACACTAATTATCTAACGCTTCATCCTCCTACTAGACACCAACAACTCCCGGTTCCCATCAAAATCAAACTAACATTTGGCAAAATATTCAAATTATAGTTGAAATAAGATTACATCAAGTCCTAAAATAATATTCTAGCTCAACATAGAGGAATCCATAACCAAAAACAAAATTTGAAAAACTAAAAAGGAAATAAAGGGAGAAGGAAGAACTATGTTGGAAGAATGATCTTCTAAGCTTGAATTCACCGTCTTCTTCAAGGATCTTCAATGAAATCATGGGATTTGAGCCTCCAAAGTTCCTTCTTCTCTAGGGATTTTATGCATCTTTTTCCTCTCTTCCTCCATCAATTTGATTCTTAGAACATTTGCCTTTTATATCCCCCCGCAAATTAGCCCGAAAATGACATCATTACGCGTATTGGCGCTACAACGCCGTTAGGATTTCTAAAAAAAAACCCTAGTGGCGCAGGCAAACCCGCTGCAGCGGGTGTTTTTCCCGCTGCAGCGGGTGGATTTTCCCACTGTAGCAGGTTTCTGACTTTGAGGAGGATTTTCGCCTTCTCTATGGCCGAATTAGCGTTTGGTGTCTTCATGAAAGTTGTGACTCTATCTCTTATCTTTCTACCGCCACAAAGATCACCTCATTTGGACTTCAGATGACAAAGGTTGTGTTTGGAGTTGTTTTTGTTTTTGTTTTTCACGTTTTTTGAGAAAGAAAAAATGAAAACATAAGAGAAACGACGTTTGGTACAATTAAAGACAAAAAACGGAAATGAAAATGATTTTTTGGTTTAGTGTAAAATGGGAGAGAAATGAAAAACAACTTTTAGTCGTTTTTCATATTTTGTTTCCATTTTTTCCTCTCTCGAGCAGAGAGAGAGAGATATTAATGGACATTTTTATACTGAAAACAATCTTTTGATAAAACTACTAAACGTATTTTCAAAAATGATTTATGTCTGAGATTGAAAACGTTTTCATTTTCATTTTCATACAAAAAACAAAATTATTTTGGAACGAGTTTCAAACGCACTCAAAGTTATGTCCAAAATTCTGAAGTATGTTCTGAAGTCAAATTTTCGCTCATTATATTCCGTTTTAGCTTCAACTTACAAAAACAAAATAAAACACATAAAACTAATAAAAATACTTGAAAACTTACAAATATTTGAACTCAAAGGTACTTGATTTGTCGGTAAATAGCCTCCTCATCAAGGTCATAGCTGACAGATACAAGAATGCTAATTGGGTGATTTAGTTGATAGCTGATTGTTTATTTTATATCAGTGAAATTCATGGTTTCTGGGGAATTTCTTACAGGCACCTGTTCAAGATGTGGACCAAAAGGTCTTCGAGCAGGCACTGTCTGCCCCTGTGGTCACAGTTGCATCACCTTCCGCCATTCGGTGAGTACCAAGTTGAAAATTTATACAATCTTCAAGTTACTAGGATTTTTTCGGTTTTATTAAGTTTTACTGGAGTAATTATATTTTTTCCATCGGTTAATTCATTACTGATTTAAACTAAAGTGTTTGATGTTGATCATTCTATATCCAGATTCACTTTTGGCCATTGTGTTGGTTAAAGTTTTTCATTGCTTTATGATACGATAAGATCCACAAACACATTTTCATATTCTATGTATTCTCTCTGTTTGAATAGTGCCTGGGTCAATCTCCTTCCGAAGCCGGAACAATGGCGCAATTCAGTTGCTTGTATTGGTGAGACAACTGCCTCCGCTGCAAAAAGATTGGGCCTGAGAAATGTGTACTACCCAACAAATCCAGGTCTTGAAGGGTAATATTCATTGTCTAACCTGGTAACTATTGATTCTTCTATTATAGAGAAATTACACAGTTTTAGATTGTGGAGCCTACTAAGAGATGCAGTCTGATTCATTTTCTTGTCGATTCTTTTCTGATGCTGCTTGTTTTGGCTAGCAGATGGGTGGACAAAATTCTAGAGGCACTGAGAGAAAACGGCCACTAGCGGAAGAGCAATTTGTTATGGTAGCTTTTCCTTGTGCTGATTATTTTTTAAATAGTTGTCCTTATTTCGCTCATGAGTCAAATGTGATGTGCTTCTTTAGTTTCGAACCAGGCCCAGGCAAGCTGACTGGGAGTAATTGAAACCTCTGCGTACACGCAAGATTTCGATGTTTCTACGTAAACTAGTTACAGAACAGAGTAAAACATATGCCAGCAGCAGAACAGAAAAGTCTGGAGTTTTATAATATCCTGAAGAGGGTTGCATCCAGAAGGCATAAATTTCTCTCCACACCAAGAAGAGGCTATCTGGATGATGCCGTAGATAAAATATCTCTAGTCGTGCATATATTAACAACCAAGGTTTCATTCATTTTTCAAAGCGAGATTGAGGTTTTCCTACGCTGTTAATAACAGATTGGTGTCGTTGCTAGTTCCTGAAACTGTACTGACTACTTTGTAAAGGTAGTACTTGTTCGTTAGCCATTCATATCATTGAATGATACACTCTTAGCTTTAAAAGCTTACAATGAAAATGCAGATTGTGAAAATAAGAATTTATTTTTTATTTCCTGTGATGCTTTTTCTTATTAGATATCTTTTTGAGCTTCTTATTAAGTGGGATATTTTAAAGAAAAAAATAAAGTACTGCTGAGTTTTAGTGACAATTATGTGGATGCTCTCACAATGAGAGAATAATCATGTCAGGTTAAGCAGATTTTTTTCAGGAAGGTGGAGGAAGCTTCCTCTGAAGGAAAGATGAGATCAGGGTCAGCGCTCGTTCTGGTTGGTAGCTCGGAACCAAATGCCCAGCACCCCTTACTGTGGTAAGTGTCAATCCTTTGTACTGAACTACATGTCCTCCAACCTGAAACCACCATCACAGTTTGAGTCTTTGAGAGCCTAGTTTTGACTAAAAAATGCTTATTGGGGTCTACAACTAATAAAGAAAAGAAAAAGGGGTCTTGGGTGAATGGATTTAGCACTACCAATAGAATATTACCTCTTGGCTAGAATACCAGGGGCGCCAAGCATTTACAACTGGTAGTTTCAAAGTGTTTATTGAGTACCTCGAGGATGTCACTGGTACTCGCCCATCAGTGTCTCCACTGCAAAATTTATTTAAAAATTATGTTTTAGGTGCCATACAGAAACTTCAAATCATAATCTCTTTCTTTCTAGAGTCATTTGGTACTGGCAAGGAAGTTTGCGAAAACGACAACTTTAGAAAGTGAAATTAGCAAAATGACCTCTTTTTACACCAAGGTGTGAACTCTGAAGTCATTTTGCAAATAAAAGATTCTTAAAAGTCGTTTTCCAAACAAGTTTTTTGAGTCAATTTGCAAAAGCTTGAGGATAGAGCAATAAAAATAAGCTGAAAGAACAAGTGGATGTGCTGAAGTCAGACTCACCTGTATACCCAGACACTAATTCCATAAGCTATAAGCTGCTTTAATGTTGGTAGAATGGTGGTTGGGCTGTCTGTCCATCCAACGCCACTATATAGACATCAAGTAAACTCAACTAGTTATTTACAATGTTCTCTCTGAATCATTGAATTGTTTGTTCCGCAATTGTTTTCTAATTACTCCTATTGTACCACTTTGTCTACAATATTATTGAAACCATAGGACTGAGATTAACTAATTTTTAGATTCTTTTAATGTTAGAATCCTCTTAACATATTGCTAACAAAATCATTAGAAGTAAATGGCACATACCTGCAACTTGACCACTGTGTTGGTCTGACATGAAGAGATGTTTGTACCTCCTTAAGATTCAGATAGTTATAGACATAATCATCGGAGCAAGGATCAAAATCATATACCTACAAGCAAAGCACAAAAAAGCTATTGCTTAGTTCATTAAACATATGAATAATGCTAGGGTAACTCTTATCTCAACTCTTGTGAACCAACTGATGTGGCATGTGAGTCGCCATTTTTACATTAGTGAGTGTTTAAAATATTTGCCACGTCAACTAATGATAAGAAACTACATATACGAGTAAAAAAAGGCGTGCCGCGTCAATTGGTACACTAAAATTGGATTGGAGTTGGTGTCCGTAACATTACTTTATATATAAATACACACACGTTTGATGTTTAGTTGGAGACTTACGGAACCAGTAGAAGATTTGGGTGCTGAGCTTTTGCACATTGGAGCATAAATATTGTAAATATCAATATATCCCACCTCGTTGTCTGCTTGACTGAGATATTTGTCACAGAGGCTGGTATAATTAACAAAGTCGCAATACTTTAGTATTCCTGCTTGGCTCTCGTCGGAGGTCAATGCATGTGTCCAAAAGTAATCGTACGTTCCCTGCTCACCAGTTTTATCATCGATCCAAGCATTCCCAATCTGCATCAATTTAAAGAGAAACCGTGCCAATGGTCTTTATTGAATTTCTTGTCAGAATTATATAAACTGCAATGGCTAAAAAGTTTATAATGAACTCACAGCGATGCCTTTAAGGTTGATTACGGTTCTCTTTGTATTATTGTTGTTGGAGAGAATGGTGTGTGCCAGTTGAGGCACATAATGACCAGCATAGCTCTCCCCAGCAATAAAAAAATCGCGGTTTTTGTATTCAGGAAATCTCTCTAGCCAGTTCACAAGAAAAATGTACGAGTCTATAGCCGTGCGCTTGTCGCCGACGTTGTAGTAGTCGGAGGATCTGTTGGAGTAAGAAAACCCCACTCCTGCTGGGGACTCCAAGAAGATCACATTTGCCGCTGCCATTTTTTTTTTTCTTTTCATGTCTATTAGTCTTATATTTTCTCCATAACAGAAGCTATCAAAATGGTTTGTTTTGAGTATGAAAATAAAAAAGAGAATTTTTTTAAGAACGGTGTAGGGACTGTTTTTGAAATTGTTTGGGTATTTTTCTTCTAGATTGCTTTAGGTAAGAAAAAAAATAAATTTGTGTTTAGGTATGTTTATGAAAACATGTATTAAGCCATAGCCTTAAAAAATGAAAACGGAAATATAAAAACAACTTTCAACCATTTTTGTTTACTTAGCAAAAACTATTCTCACTATTTTTTATTTTTGTTGTTGTTCTTGTTTCCATTTGCTAACCAAATGAAGTTTATAAAACATTTTCATTCGTGCTCAAAAAACATAGAGAAACATTTCCAAAAACAACAAAAAATAAAAATTCTCCAAACGGCTTCTATATTTCTACATAATAACATTGTACAATGTGTAGTGGTCGATTTTAGTTTTTGACAGTAGTAATTAATTTTAGTTACTGTAAATAAAATGCTTCAGTTTTTTAACAAATTTGCTTACCCTTGTTCCACGCATATTCATTTAGGTAAAGTGTTTTTCCATCGCTGTTGACTCTGAAAGGTCCCAGTTCTTCCATGGCTCCATATCCAAAAGATGAGCATCCTGGCCCTGTACACAGTACCATTCACCAGTTAATAATTAAGTGCTTTCCTACTGTTATAATAAATTGTATGTGCAGTGCAACTTTAGAGGTCAATCATAAAACTCAAACGTAATGATGTTAAAGGTGTAAAACGTATCTTTAGATATTGTTTAAGCGTTTTAATTAATTTTTAATCTTTGACGAGTTGCAACAAGAAGGTATTTTCCTTTTTCACTTGTATTTCTGTTCAACTATTGTCATTGTAATGGTCGACAAGAACAAAATTAATATAACCACGGTAAGAAACTATCGATATTAAACAATTTATGGGGAAAACTGTACCACGTCATGGATTGGTGGGTGTTTTTTTTTTTTTTTCAACAACTAGTGATAAAGAACGTTTTCGATGAAATATGGTAGTGTATTAACAATGCACTTTGACTGGCTGAACGAGTGTTTTAAAGCCTTTTAGCACTAGTTAGACGTTACAAATTTATATGTGACAATTACTTGATGATAATAAACACACAACCCTCGATGATAATGTTTCAATTCCCATGAAAGCAGACAAAATTCAGTGGTGTTTTAGTCTTCCGTTGTCCATTTGTGCACCTGTGCTGTTTAGCACTATTCAATGAAAGAACTATTAGACAAGTTTTCCGGGGCTAAAAATAGGGAACGTAGATGAGGTAGCATCGTGCACTTCACACTAAAAACAGGCAAAGGTTGAGACCGATTTGGCTAATGTGTCTGTCCGCTTTTATATACTTACAATAATATTGTTATACGTGTAAGTTAAAAATATCAAACCGCATTAATTAAAAAGTTAAGTTAATTAAAATATTTTAATTAATATGTCATGATATTATAATGACGGAAAAAACGAACCAGATTGGCCAGATTAAAACAAATATTGTTGAGATACCAAATGCACAAAAATCGTTGAAAGCAACAAAGGGTTGTTTTCAACCTCTAGACTAGATATCAATTATCTGTTCATCAATTTAGTTAGTGGTGCCGTGGGCCCTTTACTCTTTTTGACTAATGCCTGGCCTATAATTTAGCTCAAGAATTATAGCACTCGAACAAAAAGTAGTCCATTAATCTAGAGAAAATTGGACACTGGTGGATTTCATTTTGTGACACTTTAAAGAGTTTGATAGTGGAGAAATTCTTGGGTTGAGCCTAAAGTACATTTAATGGACTTATTTAAATCATAATTATTATATTAGGTCTTCTAACGAATTGACAATACCCACTACTATAAAAACTTAATAATATCTTACTATATGTCAATGTTCACAAGTGAATGTCATGCCAATAAAATCATGCCCTATCTTCCCATGCTACTATATATATCGAGATTGTTGTTTAGATGCTCACATAATTAAATTAAGTACATTCGCATTTTATATACCACGTCATGTGTATTCTTATAATTACCATAAAACATGCTTCCATTCCTTAATGTTCGCATAAAATTAGATATTTTTCATTAAGGCACAACTAACATTTCGTTGTAGCATAATAGGCATAAAACATTCACAGAGAAGTTAAATGTTTCCATATCATATTCATGATCATGGAAATCATAAGCAACATGCTAAACAATAAAAATAATACATAAGGCATCATGGTATTCTTACATAGAATGACAAATATAGGTCACAAGTAAACCGTAAGCATCACTTGTGCTGTAGGTGAGTACTATACTTACCTTAAGCATTCATATATCCTAAACGTAAGTTGCATACGTGTCATTCGATTCACACACAATGATTATGTGCTCTCCTAATTTTAGCAAATATTTTCTCATTAATCAGAGCGTTACAAATCCTTTTAAGAGTATTGCAACACTCTAGACTTGTTAACAAATTTCTAAAAATAGGAAACCATATTGTTTCTTTTTCATATATTAATCAGAGACTCGTAATTACAATCTCGCTTATTATTTTTAAAAAACGTGGTTTGAGGTTAAGGAAGACTCTTTGGAGTTTAATAATCTTGTCCATAACTTAACAAAGCAAAAGCAAGTGCTTAATTCATAATATTACCTTAATTTTCTTAAAAGAAAATCCATCAAACCAAAATATTTAATTAAAATCCTTAAATCTTATAGATATAATTTCTTTAAGAAAACCAAAAGAACACAACCTCATAACATGAGCTTTCATTATCCTTTGACATTGCTAAAAATATAATCTAGCATGAATAGTTAGATTTTCAACTAAACCAACTAAAATCTTTGTTTTGTCAAACTTTCCGTCATCAAAATTAACAATTCGTTATCGAATATGACACTCAAATTACATACATATTTATAGATATTTAAATAACTATAAGCATACTTTTTTACCATAAAAATTTATATATTTAACCGGTCATTAATATCAACTCCATATCTAATAGCACAAATGTTGACCATAGAGCAACTTTTATCAAAAGACAGATTCATCAACTCCTACGAAAATATTCATAATATATTATAGGTAGATCAAAAAATTACGGGACCACAGCCCAATCAAAGTAGACTCATAGAGCTTTCTTTAGAGCTATTATAAGCTAGGTTTCAGATTTATTAGATGCATCAAGAACAGCCCGTAATCCATATTAAAAATTCCTGTCAGGAAATTGACAGATTTTTGTATGAACTTGTAAAAATCATAACTAATTCTAGAAAAATCGTTTTTGAGTAATTCAAAACTCCACTTAAAGTTTAAGATGTATATTTTAAGAAAACAAATATTAACTGAGACAAAAAAAAAAAAAAAAAAAAAAAAAAAAAAAAAAAAAAAAAAAAAAACTTCACAGCTAGTCACAAAAACTTACTCATGATCATTTTGTCAAATATATAGCAAGCAAACTTTAAACAACTAGAAAGTATGCTTAATGATCATCAAAAATTAAACTCCATCATCAAAATACACAATCTAACTCAATCTTATGAGTTTTTAAAGGTTGAGGACTCTCGCCCTTAAAGAAACGACGAAGTTTGGCTTCACTTTGATGATGAACTCGTGGCTTGGATTGGGAAAACATATTTGGCTTGAATAGTAGATTTGAATGCATAATCATTCAAAAACGGATTAGAACTCATCAACAAAAGAAATTGAGTACCAAAATCAATTTACAAACATCTATTCTCGGATTAGGGCTTGAACCCAATTTTTGAGAGCTTTCTAGGGCTCAAAAATCATCTCCAGCTCAAGGAAATCAAGGGGGGTGTTAGTACTATTTGTTGGGAGAAAGATTTTGATGAAAAATTGGAGTTTTGAATGTATTTGGTGGTTATGGTTCTTCTACACAGTTACGGGATTCTTTATTTTTATGAAAAAGAGAATAAGAGAGAGAGTGTGAAAGAAAGGATGGAGAGAATGGGTTTGATATGTTTTGAAATAATAGATATACTCTTTTTTTTTATTATTTAATTTTATTTTTAACCCTACTAAATTTCTATTGGTTGTGGTATATGGTGACTCCCAAACAACCAATCAGAAACTTTTGACAACTCCATCAGTTTTTCTGTCTTAATCCACACATTTTTTGTAATCACATTTTGGGTCTCATATTTTTAAAAATTACATTCCGATTTCGTATTTTGCCAAAATTGTAAATTTGACCCCAAAATGGAATCTTTATAAAAATTACACTCTTGACTAATTTCGATGCTCCGATTAATTAAGAATCTGATATTAAAATTTTCATTCGGAATTTAATTTACTAATTTTGCTCCAATTAACATTTTTCGGAAAAAATTGCCCTCGGACAATAATTTCGTCGAATGACGTGTGAGCTTAGGATATCTAAATCTCCTTAATTGTCATGAGAAAATCATAAAACACATAACAATCACAAAGTTCACAATGTCATAAAAATCTATGATAAAATTTTGAGCGTGTAACAGTGGGGACATCCTATTTTTTGTATTTCTATACTTGGATGGAAACGGAATCATTGTGGATATATCAACAATATACATTCCCATCATGCCTTTCATTTTGAGTTATATACGCAACATGCTAGCTGGAATTTAGGGATTCCATGGTCCCTACAGCAAATGCGCATACACATTCAATCATGTTAATTATATTTATACACACATATATATGGCTTGACAACGATATAATACCAAACATAGAATGTCGTCTATGTCCATCCTACGACTCTGCTGTTTTGGCTGTGTTTATTGTACTGTTTGAGTTAAAGTTTTCACGAAAGAACAACACAATTTTACTGCACTTTGTCTTTCTATACAGCTATATATCTGTTTTGATAAGCTTAATTATTAATCCCTAGCTACTATATATAGAACTACTTAATATTAGTTAAACTAATCGTTGGACTACTGCAATAATATAAACTAGTGGGAAAAAAAAAAAACTTCCCAACAACATTATTCCTGTTGCGTACTGGGACTGTGTAAGAAAAATATAGACTTATATTGTGCATGTATAATGCATGTATGTATATATATATACATATATATATATATATATCCACAGTTCCACACTGTACTAACAAATATTTATCTCTAGTTGATAAGCATAGTTGAATTTGGTAATTATATTATAGCAAGTAGAATTTTGAATTTATCTCTAATTTGAGTTAGTAATAATTCCCTAATTTCAAAAGATTTTATTGATTTAGAATCTCATTTTGAATATTGATACATTGTATGTAGACACTCTAAGTGTTCTCTCAATTGTAGTTCTATTTGAGTACTACTACAGATAAGTAAATCCTCTCTCTCTTCTTAGTATATGATGCGGCGAGTATATTATCGAACAACGTCAAATATTCTCTATATTCTTTTCTCTTTTTTATGTTTTTATTTGACTTTTAATGCCAATTTCGCGTAAGAATTTATGAACGCGAGATCATATGTAGAGGAAAGCAATACCTTGCTGAAATGACTTCGGTTAATTATAGCAAATTATAAAGTAATTCATGATATATAATTAATATAAAGCTGTGTCCACGCTAAAAAAGGTTAACGTGGGCTATAATGATAAATTTCCAATGCGCGCATGCCATATCAAAATGGTAAAACAAAACGTGGTAAATAAGATCATATCACTCCAATTATCATCTATATATAGAAATAAGTATATGACAAAATACTTTTGTGATGTGATGTTTATATCTAAATATGTTTGTTTACCTCCATTTAACCACAAAACCAAAGGCTTGGTTGCAGAATCTTGGGGTGACTCAACAAAGTAGTAGAATAATGCTCTCCCAGCTCTAGGGTCGACCGTGACATAGCCCGAGTATTGGTTAAAGTCCACTCCTTCAGGTTGTCCCGGCAAAGCTTCAATCTTGTTAGCTTCCTTTAACCCTTCATGGCTTCCAACATAAAGGGGAGATAAATATTGTCCATTTAACTCATCTAAACTAGCCCATGACTCAGCTCGAGGAGGATTTACCGATCTCCGAGACTTGATCAACTCGTTGAGTTTTTCGATTTGATTCGCTTCGCATGAGAATCGGAGAAGAGAGAAGAACAGGAGCAACTGTTTGAGAATATGTGAAATTTGAAGCTTCATCATGTGTATACTCTATGGCTGCTTTCAGAGATATTACAGTTATATATGTGTGTATATATATATGTGTGTATGTATGTATTGAGGTGATCAGTTGTCAAGAGCCTTTTGGTATTTATGTGCAAAAGTTAAAAGAAAGATGTTGGAATGAGAATACAAGGCAAATTAACGGGCGTTAAAAACCTAGAAAATGTTGTGTTGACAATCAAAGTACAGCTTTGTATAGTACATTTCTCCCCTAGAAACTCATGGGGCCGGCAAAATTTGTTTTCTACTCTTTTGTCCAGAGAGAACTTTTCTTTGGGGCATTTGCGTTGGATGGCCTTCCATCTCCTACGTGGAAGGGATGGGATCCACATTTAAGTAACTCAATTTGATAATCTTATGAGAAGCCTGTACTAACAACATCACTAATAGAAGCTGGTACGCCTCACTTATGGGTCCCACACTGTGGGACTTACCTTTTATTAGTGGGTGGTGCTAAGAACTACCGGTGTCCTATAACATTGCTATTATGAGAATTGCTAGTGTCACCATTTCTGTCACTTTATGTATTCATTATTTGACACTTGGATTCAATTAACATGATATACTATTATTTAAACATAAAATGAGATAATAAATTTCACATATCAAACAGTGAATATAAAAAGTGACAGATAGTGAACGCTATTATTTCTTTAATTTTATTTCATTACTCGGATGAGTGTTATTATTTTTTTTTTTTCCTCTCTGGTAGATGAGTGGTACTTAATTATACATGATTGGAGAAATTAAGGCGAAATGGAGGAATACTTGTGTAAAATTGGAGAAATTAACATATAAAGTTTCTCATATTTTTCGGGATGAAAATTCAATGGTTGATAGACTAGCATCTTGCCTTTGATTTTCTCATGTCATTGGTTGATAGAGATGCATGTCTTTTACCAACATATCGATTTAAAGGATTGTGAGATATCTTCTGACGACCGAAGACAATACTGGATCATGCACTCTTTTTCCTCTTGCTTGGTTTTCCCCTCAAGATTTAACGGCATAAGTTTTTAACGAGGCCTCCTCTTTTCTTTTAGAGGGAGTACATCCTATTGGTGAAGACACATCCCTATACATACGCAGTAGAAAAATAACTTAAAATAAAAATAACCGAAAAAAATAGAGAAAATAAAAATTTAAGTGGTTTGAAAAAATTTTCTACGTTCACAAGAAATGTAGAAAAATTTACTGACAGTTTCAGAATTACATACTCAACAAATTTTCTCACTTTCTCTCTCTACCCAAAATCCTATACACCCTTTGTCAATCTTTCTTCTCACTTTTCTCTCTTTAAAAGATACACTCTTTCTTTACACTTTTTTCTGAACACCCAAAAAGTCTTACACAAAATATTTATTTATAAACTCCTAATAATCATTGCTCAAAAACAGAAAACAGTAACTTACTTAAAAAACACAAAATATTAACTTTCTCAAAATCAATTCGAGATAATTACCAAACACATCCTTTCAATTCCAGTAGTAGTGCCTAAAGGTTTTTCCTTTTTATTTTATTCTAGTTTCTCTTGTAAGCCTTTGGGCGAAATAGTAATTTTCTTCCTTGTTTATTTCTTTTTTTTTGTTTATTAATATTTTTTGAGTGGCTAGTTTGGTGTAAGATATTGATTCTAGTGAGTGCCAACTTAGTTAAGATGTGTTGAAATTCACTAATATCAGTTCGTCACCTCTTTTCATTCTATAAAACTATACATGGTTACGATGACGCCTTATCTCTGTTTTGCTAATATGTTTTCATAAATGCTGCCCCGGCGTTTTACAAATTAAATAAAACAATCCCCTATGTAACTTATTGTGGCTAGGCGTTCTGTTAAATTTAACCATTTTCATCTTTTATAAAAGGAAAGATTAATATATATTGTGGTTTTAGGATCCTTTTGGATATGAAAAAAAGGATCCTTCTAAATGATTTATTTTGCTTGACAAATTAGGTAAACAATACGCTTGCGCTTGTGGAATATTGTTCATTTATTTATAAAAATATGAAGAAAAAAAATGAATAGTTCTTTGCTGTTTAGTATTTATTTATTTTTTAAGATGTTATTCACTGTTTCTTCACAACTATTGTTTTGAGTTACACATGCAAATGGATTTGAATTTATTTGTGGATAATTTATATAGCTGGATTTTAATCCTTAATTGCTGGGTTCCGCCCATTTGTGGGTTGGAATAAATAATGGGCTTTTAAGCCCAGATGCCAAAAAAAAAAAAAAAGAAGGCATGCTGCTCACGCAGGCAGCAAAATAGAAAAGAAAAGAACAAAGAGAATTTAGAGAGGTTGATAGCCGAGGGAACCCGAGAACGAGGAGGGAAGAAAAGGAGAGAGAGAAAGAGAAAAGGGGTAGGATTTTGGTGCTTGTGCAAGACAATTAGGTGGCGAAACGTTATCAGTTTTGGCTCAAATTTGACATGGAGAGTCTTTGTGGCGAGCTCTTCTCATCTACCGGACTTGATTTCTCATTTAACCTCTCTTTAGTACTCTCTTGAGTACTCCTATTTTGGTGAGACCTAAGTTTTTTTTAGTATTATTGTTATTATCCGTCTTTGATGATAATGTCTATATTGTTGGTGAACCAAGAATAGTGTTTCTTGATTACATTATTATTGTGAGCCTCTAGTTTGATTCTAGAGAGAAACTTTGTAATCTCATTGTTAATATAGTGGAAGAAATTTAAGTGACGGGTCTCGTGGTTTTTACTCTCAATTTGAGAGGTTTTCCACACTAAAAATTAGTGATTCATTTGTGGTTGATTATTTTGATTAATTGATGCATTGGTTGTTTGGCTTTGTTGGCATTTTGTTTGAGGTCCTATTTTAGCACACAAAGAGGGAAAGTTTTATTCCGTAATTGTTAGTGTTAGTTTTCCCAACAAACTGGTATCAGAGCCTTTGGTTGGCTAGAGGCTAATTCTTGCGTGTTGAGATGGAAGAACAAAATTCATATGGGATGATAAAATTAACCTCATCGAATTATTCCATTTAGAAGCGCAAATGAAGGATTTACTTATTGTTAAATATTTGTATGGGCCTGTTATGGGCAAGTTAAAACCAGAAAAAATAAGTGATGATGATTGGGAAACATTACACATGAAAGCTGCTGCTACGATTAGGCAATGGGTTGATATTAATATTTTTAATCACATTTCTGAAGAAATGAAAGCCGATGCACTTTGAAAGAAATTAGAGGCTATGTATGAGAAAAATACCTCCAGAAATAAAGCCTCGATCATTAGAAGACTTGTGAATTTAAAGTACAAAGATGAAAAAAGTATGACTGAGTATACTAGTGATTTTCAAGGCCTGGTGAACCAATTGGCTGCAATGAAAATGCCTCTTGAAGATGAGTTGCAGGCATTGTTACTTCTTAGCTCTTTGCCTGACAGTTGGGAAACATTAGTGGTATCACTAGGCACTTCAGCGCCTAGAGGAAAGCTAACCATGGAAATGGTTAAAGAAATTTTGTTGAGTGAAGAATCCAGAAGAAAGGAAAAGGGTGAATCTTCTTCTAAGGTACTTGTTTTTGAAAAACAAGAAAGGCGTGGAAGAAGTAAAAGTAGGCATCCTCAGGGTCATGGCAAAAAGGATACATCCAAGGGAAAATCTAAAAACAAGAAAAATATCAAGTGTTATCACTGCAACAAGATGGGTCACATGAAGAAAGAATGCAGAATTTGGAAAAGGGAATAGGGTGAAGGAAATAAAGATGAGAAAGAGCCTAAAACAGTAGCCGCCGAAGGTGATGTTACCATCATTTGTGATGACAGTTGTGTTAGTCTTGTGTGCCAGGAAAATGATTGGGTGATTGATTCTGGTGCCTCGTTTCATGTTACTCCTCATGGTGATTTCTTCACTTCTTACTTTACCGGTGATTTTAGCAATGTCAAAATGGGAAATAGTGGGGCCTCTAAAATTGTGGGCATTGGAGATATTTGCTTGGAAACTAATCTTGGAAGCAAGTTTGTACTCAAGGATGTTAGGCATGTTCCGGATATTCGCCTAAACTTGATCTCCACAGGCAGACTTGATGATGAGGGTTTTACTAGTTTTTTTGGTGAAAGTAAGTGGAAGCTCACCAAAGGTTCTCTAGTGGTTGCAAGAGGAAAGAAAATGAATACAAGCTAAGCTTCACAAAAGAGAGATAAATGTTGTTTAGAAGGGTGCAAGTATTGATCTATGGCACAAGAGGCTTGGCCACATCAGTGAGAAAGGACTACAACTGCTTGTTAGAAAGCAATTCCTGCCTAGTTTGCAAGGTATGCCTCTTAAAACTTGTGTTAATTGTTTAGCTGGAAAAACACATAGAGTTGCATTTCATTCACACCCTTCATCTAGAAGATTAAATATTCTTGATTTGATTCATACTAATGTCTGTTTTATGCAAGCTAAAACTCGTTTATGTGCATTCTACTTTGTGACTTTCATCGATGATCATTCAAGAAAGGTTTGGGCCACTGCTTTGAAAACTAAAGACCAGGTGCTTGATGTCTTTTTAGAAATTCATGCGAAGATTGAAAGAGAAACAAGAAAACAGTTGAAATCAGTTTGCGCTAATAATGGTGGTGAGTACAGGGGACCGTTTGAGAATTACTGCAAACTCTATGGAATCAGACTTGAGAAGACTCCAGCTAAGACACCTCAGCTTAATGGTGTAGTGGAGATATGAACAGAATAATTGAAGAAAGAATCAGGTGCATGCTTTCTCACGCAAAGCTTCCTAAGTCCTTTTAGGGGGAGGCCATGAGAACCGCAGTCGATTTGATTAATCTTTCTTCAGCAGCTGCCTTGGATGGTGATGTTCCAAATAGAGTTTGGATTAGGAAAGATGTCTCTTATGATTACTTGAGAGTTTTTTGTTACAAGGCATTCGTTCATATTCCTAAAGATGAGAGATCCAAGCTTGATGATAAGGCAAAACCGTGAATTTTCTTAGGCTATGGCCACGAGGAGTTTGGGTAC